TATATAAAGTTATAATATTATATTAAAATATATGATGAATAAAAATATAAAACTATTTATTAATATAAATTATAAAATATACATAATATTATTATTTATATACAATAATATATTATAATTTTGAATTTAATGCAAGTAAAATTTTACAATGTATTTTATAATTTTCATTTTATTTGCATAAATCTCAAAAAATTCTTTCAATTATATATATAATATTATTATATAATATTATAGAGAACTTTTACAATTAATGTATTTACCAAGTGCAGTTTCACAGGATTTTCTAAGTTGAGAAAGGTGCGACCGTTTGACATCCCGGTCAGCCAGGATCTTTTCCAAAGCTCTGATAATGAACATTTCTTTAGAGTTATCTCGCATCGTCGCCGAGCCGTGCTGATTCCGCTGCTAGGCTGCCACGGGAGCACACGCGACTCGACGAGAGTCTCGCATCTTTACCACTGTAATTTATGTACCGGTTCCTCGTACATTGTCTTGAACTATCTTTTGAAGACAGAAGTTGTCTGCGGAGACTGGCAACTTCTGCGACACTGTCGATGAAATGTGGATCGATCAGGAGCTTTGAGAACGACAAACGAGAGAGACAATAATACTTCAAACTAATCTCGTCATAGAACGATGTCTCAAATCATTTTTCTATGAAATGTTATAAAATGATGATGAAATTTCAAAAAAATGACAGCAAACTTTCGAAACAACAGAGAAATCACACAGGACAGACTAAACGACGAAGGAGAATCATGTGGCGCCCTCAATTTGCTAGTTATTTATGATGAAATCCCTAGGATTTAGGAATCCTTAGATCAGTACCGTATATACATTTCAAATTTTCATGTAATTTCTTAATATTTTCTCTTTTTTTAAAATTTCGAATTATTATTTATGCTTTTTTTAATTAAAAATACATTTTTTTAATAGTGATTATTTTAAAATAATTTTTATTATTTTAAAATAATTAAAAAAAAATTTATAACAGATAAAATATTATGAACATTATCTTTTATAAACGATATTAAATAGCAAAAAAATTAAATCTCTATATTTTAAAATAATTCATAATTTTAACTTTGTTATTGATTTATTAAAATATTTATAATAAAAAAAACTTCTTTAAAACTTAATTGATTTTTTTTTTAGCAAGAATAATTTTGTAGCAATTACAATAGATATTTAATTGTATTCATGAAATGTACAACTGTACACTCTATACATTTATCTACAGAAAACTAAAAAAATAATTATATTATATATGTAATATTCAAATTATAAATAATCAAATAATTAATAAATCATATTAATATTTATAAACATAAAAAGACTTCATTTTTGTTTAATTATCTATTATACATTTTACTTTTTTTTATATTTAATTTTTTTTAATATTTAACAAATTCTAATTAATATAAATTAGCTAAATAATCGAATATTCAAATAAATAAATAAATTTTCAAATAAATGATTGAAAGTAATTAATAATTTCTAGATATTACATAAATTTCGAATTAAATGATTAAATATTTTAAATATAGAAATATTTAAAACATTAGATCAATGATTACTGATAAAAACAACATTTTTATTAAATCAATAATAAAAACGAAAATTCTAAAACTATTTAGGTTATTAACATAATTAACTTAATTTTCACATAGAAACTAAAAGAAAAGTTTATTTTAATTTAAATATGAAAAATTTTCATACTTTATAATTTTTATTAAATTATTTATATTGAATATAATTCTTGTTTTGAAAAAAATTTTGTAAATAAATTATTAATGAAATATTTTATATATACTTACTTAATTATAAAAGATGATACATGTTTATCATGCGGTTTAAACGCGTATTAAATTAAAATGACTATATATATTATATATATTATGTATATAATGTGACGTCACAACTCATCAACCAATAAAACTTCGTTTTCTAATTGAAGAATAAAAGAGAAATCTTAATCTTACAGTATTTGATAGATTCTTCCAAACAGAAATATCGATGCATTATTTTGGAATCGCGTCATAAGATTTGGAAACCATTACGAATATTAATTGTCAAAAATCATTATATCAATGTTAATTATTTAATTAAATTGATTATATGAATTGCTAATAAAAGCAATTAATTTAATTATTAAATAATGGAAAAACAACCGTTAAATCCAAAAGATGATAAACCTCCGTCTTACTCGGCGGCAACTGCACCAAAAGGTAAGTGATAAAGTTCTAATATTATTGTTTTATACTTTTTTGTATTTAAAAATTACTTTTAATTAATATTTAATTTAATTATATTTAAGTTATAAATGTTTGAATTAGGAATAATTTCGTAATAATTTTTATTTCCTATATTTATTATTGATTATTATAAAAAATGTTTATGAAATTTTTAAAATATGATTAATAAAATTCTTTTATAATTAACACTATTAAAATCTTGAAAAGTAATTAAAAAATACTAAATATAAGTCTATGCTATTAACATTATATATGAAATATTGTGAAATATTTTAAGTAAAATTATAAAAAATTAGTTACATTTAATTTCTATCATTAATTTTATTTTAAATAAATAATTTTTTATTTATTGTATTATGATTTATTTTTTATATTTCAAATAAATTATCTAAATTGATTAGATAATGATATCTAAAAAAATAAATTAATTTTCAATATATTTTATTGTACAATTAATAATAAGAAATGATTAATTAATAATAAGAATAAAAATTAAGAAATTAATAATAAGAAATTTTTTATTTTATAAAGAAATTACTATTTTTTAAAAATATTTTTAAAAACATTAAAAATTAATATGGAATATATTTTGCACAGTAAATTGTTCATGGCAACCATCACCAGATTACAATTCCACACAATGTCAAGAATCTACTTCATGGCCTCCACCTCCAGGATATTATCCTAGTGTCAGTGAAACTAATAGTCACAATTATGTACCTTCTTATGGTTCTACACAATCAACCACAATAATTATGCCAGAAATTATTTTTGTTGGAAGATGTCCTGCATGTAGAGTGAGATTTCTTAATTTTTAATTCTTTAAAATAAGTAAATTTTCTTTTCTTTTATATTTTTTATTATTTATATAATATTATTATATTATATTTATTATAT